AATTCTTTAAAAAGTTGATGAAGGCTTCATCCTTTGATGCAAGAAGGTAAACCCATGTATATCTAGAGAAATCATCGACAAGAACAAAAGCATAAGACTTACCTCCCAAACTTACCACATTAGTTGGTCCAAAGAGATCCATGTGAATCAGCTCATATGGTTCATAGGTGGTTATATCCTTTTTAAGGTTTAAAGCAATTCTTGACTAATTTACCTCCAACATCAGCATCACAGAAGAACTTGGAATTTTCTCTTAACAAAGGAATTCCATGTGCAGATTTTGATTTAGATAGCTGTGATAATTTGGAAAGACTTATATGGCCAAGTTTCCTATGCCATAGCATCTCAAGATCATAATGCTTTGCTTGAAAATATGTCTCATTAAATGTTCTTATACAGTTCAGGTCCACTACATACATATTGTTTCTTTTCGTTCCACTAAACAGCAGTTTGTTGTCCTTAATTCTGATAATTTCACATGAGGAAGACTAAAAAACGACTCTGTTTTCAGAATTACATAATTGACTAATGGAGAGAAGATTGTGCTTAAGACCTTTAACAATGAACACATCTTTGATAGTGGGGAGAGGACTCTTACTGATTGTTCCATTCCCCATAATTATTCCTACGCGATCATCTCCAAATACTACTTTACCACCCTTTTTATAGCTTAAAGAATAAAATAATTCCTTTTTACCTGTCATGTGGTGGGAGCAACCACTGTCCAGAAACAATGTGTTCTCATTTTCTCCCAAACTCTGCATTCAGTCATAGATTAGTACATTTTGGTACCCAAAATGTTTTGGATACAACTGGCTTTTTGGGATTTAAATCATAACAAAAAAATTCCACATGTCATTTTCTTTTACAGTAGGAGCATGTGAAGATTACAGGGTATTTTGAGTATTTATTATATTTAGCATATTGATGCTTAGTAAACCTTCTTTGAAAAGGATTTCTTATGTCAGAACTTGAATTGAACATACCGTGATTTTTATCCTTGAGATCAAATACATGTTTGTTTAATTAGTTCCTTATTCCATTCTGTTTGAACATTTAAAGATCTAGTTAAAGTCAAACTTTCATCCTTTTGGGCTTGATTATCAGTCATTAACATGCAATACTTACTTTTGAGTCTGTTACATTCTTCTTGAAGATTTGCTAGCTCATGTAAGAATTCAGTATTTGATTTAGTTCTATTTTCAGTTTCTGATTCCGAGTCAGAAATTACCTGGTAGCATGTAGGAGGTTGCCGATCAAGGCTGGTTGAGGATTGACTGTCGCTTTCACTTTTGGTTGCAAAAGCCATGTATGCCAGGTTTTTTTACCTCTTGCTCCTCTTCTGAGCTGAAATCACTCCATGATGTTGTGAGCGCCTTCTCCTTCATTTCGATGCTAGTAGGACATTTTGATCTCATATGCCCTGGCTTACCACACTTAAAACAGATGGTTAAATCCCTCTCATTGGAAGACATATTGTCTTCCTTATCAATTCTGAACCTATCTCGACCTTCTCAGAATCTGTCATAGAATTTTGGAGAGTTTTTCTCAAAGTAGGATCTATTTGATGCATATCTTTCATTACTCTTAGTGGGAATTTTTTCTGCTCCTTCCGTTTCTCTTTTGTAGTCATAAGAATGATTATTAAAACTTCTGTTATCATGGTATGCCCTTTTTGCCTGAAAATCCTTCTTCATTTTGAGCATTCGATGGAATTTTCTGCTAACAAGGGCGAATTCTTTTTCAAACTCCTCTCCCATGTCTATTTCAGAGTCACTATCGAACTCTTGAGCTTTGAATGCTATAACTTTTCTTCTTCTATGATCTTCTTTTTTCATTTGTATTATAACTTCATCATGACTTAACAGTGATCCTATTAACCTTTCAATAGATAATGCCTTTAAATCTTTAGCTTCTTCAATTGCAGTGCGTCTAGGTAACCATTCTCTAGGAAGACATCTCAGTATTTTCCTAACTAGGTCCTTTGTTTCAAAGATTTTTTCTAGCGATTTTAACCTATTTATTAAATCATTGAATCTTTTGTACATACTAGAAATTGATTCACCTGAGCTCATTTCAAAAGATTCATATTCATTTAGCAACACATCTATTCTACTCTCTTTAACTTCAGACGTAACTTCATGGGTGGTCTGAAGAGACTCCCATATTTCCTTGGCTGACTCGCATTGTGCCACTTGACTCCTTTCTTCAGGGCTCAGTGCTGAGAATAGTATGTGCATTGCTCTGGAATCAAGCTGAGAGGAGATTTTTTGCTCTTCTTTCCAGTCTTCTTCATCTTCATCCTCCATGGGAATTGGCCTTTTTCTGATAACTGCCCACTATTCTCCATCAACTCCACGAAGGTATATCCGCACCCTTTTCTTCCAAACGGTATAATCCATACCATCAAACCACGGAGGATTTGAATTTGCAGAGTATGCCACTCCTGTTGAAGAAGTTCCTGACATCCCAAGACCTTCTCTTTGGCGACGATTAATCCCACAAAGAGTAGGCTCTGATACCAATTGTAAAGTCAAAATATGAGATGCACTCAACAAGAGATTTGGATTATTGCTTTTCTAAGATGATCTCTTGTAAAGAAAAGAAAGACACGTTTATTGATTTTTCAAATGAAGATCGAACTACACAGAGAACCCTAGCCAAGCCAAGTGACTTGGCTCTTTTAAGAAATAAACACTCAACACACTCACTTCCCAAGTTTTACTGTGGTGGAAATATAATAGTATAACAGTGGTGAGATAAGATTATATGATATTACCATAGTTGTGGGATGTTGGTATGATAGTGGTTATAAGATAGTATGAAGTATTATCTTTGAGGGGGGAAAAATTGATGTCACAATATTATTGTGATCATATCAAGACATTATAATAAAGTGATAATATCATGATATAATGATACTGTGAGTAGGACCGTAGTGGTAAGATTATGATATGATAGTGATAAAATTATAGCAAACATGTATTTGAAAGAATAATTTATATCGGTTACCAAAATATAGTAATATAGATGTCATTATGTAACTCATAATTAATATGATGTTCTTTTTATGCAAAAGTTTTAAATATTAGTTAAAACAAGAATGAGAATTGTTATTCGTCGCCCTAAATAAATTAAATTTATTCTAATGTCCTTAATTCATTTATTTGTCTTCCCAACACTTAAACAAGTCCGGCCTCACAAACAGCCTTGAATTCGGAAAAAGCGCACAAATTTCTTAGGAGGTAACAAAAGGAGAGTGGTACACAGCTTAATAATCGTACAATTGGCCATCTGCATCTTAATGAGCTTGAAATCTTCAAGCGTTATGCCACTGTCTTTGTAGCAAGGAAAGAGCATAAAGCAAACCACAGAATCCGATCAATGAAAACACAAGAAGAACAGATCATGAACCAAGGAACAAGCCGTAGGAAATCAATCCACATGGAAGCTGCGAATTCGGGTGGGGGATTGGGTGGGATTACCGGGTTGGGATGGATGGAGGGGCGATTGGAAGCGGCGGCTGCAGAGGTGAGCGTATCATCCGGTAAAGTTTAGGGCGATAAAATTTAAATTTTAGGGCGACGAATAGTGATTTAGAATCAGATATTTTATAATATCACTGTCATATAACGACATTATCACTTTGATAATATCATAATATGCGAGTAATAGTATTATCGAAATTACATTGGCCCATTTTCTTTTCATTTTCCATTTTTTCTAAAGTTTAAAAAATCATTTCTTTTCCATTTTGTTGATTGTGTGAATCGAGTGGCGGAGGCAGGATTAGAAACTAACCTTGTCCTCTTTACAAAATATAAATATATAATTAATAAAAATTTAATTAATATAATTAAAAGTAATAATATTCAAATAATTCATTCATAGATAAAGAAACAATCAACTAATACAATTATATTTTGCATAAACAACCACGATGAGTTTTCGTTTTCCGAAACAAATGCAAAATACATTTGTTGTATACACTTTTAAGCAAGTCTCTTTCAGTGTATCCCATTAAATAATCATTAGCAAACTGATCGCCAATCCAACTTTCAAGTTGTTCTTAATAGAACTGAAGCTAAAAATGCTCTTTCTAGTTTCATAAGCAAATAAACTTACGGATATATGACTTATAAACTTTCATCTCCACCATTGCTCGAGATAATTCATCATGTGCAAGCTGTTGTCGAATATTAGTGTCATGAATGAAATCAATTGACTAATTTTTAGCAATTAATGAACAAGTAATGAGTTGTGATATAGGCATATAGCAACAAAACATCCTTATGTTACTTGTAGGGGTGGTATTTTTTTCCTCTCCCAAAAATTACCCTTGTCCCGGAACAAGGCCAAAATGGCCTAGCTCCGCCTATGTGTGAATCCAACTCGTCGAACTCTAGGTCAATGTATGAGCTCCAGAGGCATTGCCATCTCTGGGAGAGAGCTATAGTATATGAATTCTAGGTATATGTCCTACCCATCCCATTTCCATCACTAGCACCAAAGGATCTAGATTTAGTTGAGCACTTTTCCATAACCATGAGTTATACGTCCCATCCTGGACCTTATTATAATTGAGTTCACAATTCCGAGCTCTATTTGAAAGGTTTAATGGTTGGAAAACGAATAGCCCCAATGGCCAATAGTTACATAGCATAATTCACAAGATGTGTAAAACTCCCCCATTATTATTATCATTATTTATTGCTGCATCATGGCATAACATAACCCGAAGGTACTAATTAAGGAGGAAATAACAAAACCACGAAATGGTGAAACAGAACGAGCAAACGCAACAACGCCTCGCTAGTAAAAAACAAGGATAGAGATAGATACAGCAGTAGTAATGCTGTATGCATGCACTTGTACGTTACAGAGATTATTGAGGGTACGAATCACAAATGGCTGATTATGGGGGGAATTACGATGATGATGATGTGATCACTTTTTGGTGTGGTGATCATCGATATCTTTGCTGAGATGCACAGCAAATTTCATAAGGGAGAAGGGCTCGGGGACATCCTCGTTCTGCTTCTCGTACTCCAGAGGGGAGTTGCCTTGACAACAATCTTGAACTCCTTGTACTCCTTCATAAGATCGCCTTCGACCACCTTGAAAGTGGTCGAAAAGTTCACATCATCGATGTCTTCGACTAATTCCTTGGCCACCTTGTGAGTCCCATCTGAGCACATATAAGGTTTGAGTCCTCAATTCAGCTTATGTAAATGAAAATTATTTTTAACTAGGTTGATTATGTGCCTTGCTTCGCCGCGGCTTCTCATAGAATTAGAAGTATTGTTTGCCAACCCGTATTTGATTTTTGATCGCGGTTAGCAGCGTTATAATAGAAAAACTCCTATTGGAATCTAAACTGGTAGGTTATTTTAAATGTATGTTACGATTTAATCACGATTGAGCTACGATTTTAACACAAAATGTTTTAATTCAAACTTTTTCTTGAATGACTTTTGGTATGATTTTACAATTTTTGATTTAACCACGATTGTACTATGATTTTAGCACAAAATATCATAATGCTAACTTTTTTGGTACAACCTTCGGTTTGGTTTTGCAGTTTTTGTCTTTTTTATAGTACATCGAGGCTCTGGTTGGAGCAATGTGCCAAGCCTGATTTAACCACGGTTGAAATACAATTTTAGCACAAAATACCCTAATGCTAACTTATCTGGTATAACATTCAGTATGATTTTACAATTTTAGGTTTTTCTGAACATAAATCAAAGATCGGGTCAGAGCAATGTGTCTATCCTGATTTAACGACGCTTGAACTATGACTGTACCGTACTGGCGGTCCAATAGAAAAACTCCTAACGGAATCTTAATCGATAGGTAATTTTAGTTGTATGAAATTATATAACCACGGCTAAACTAAAATTTTAGCACAAAATGACCTAATGCTAACTTTTTATGTACGACCTTCGATATTGCTTTACAATTTTTGATTTATTATGTACAAGCATCGAGGCTTGGGTTGCAGCAATGTGTCAAGCCTGATTTAATCATGATCGAACTACGATTTTAGCACAAAATACCCCATCGTTAACTTTACCGGTACAACCTTCAGTATGGTTTTACAATTTTTGACCTTTTTTTATGAACATGCATCGAGGCTCGGTTTGGAGCAACAGGTCATGCCTGATTTAACCATGATTGAACTACGATTTTAGCAGAAAATACCCTAATGTTAACTTTATCGGTACGACTTTTGGTATGGTTTTACAATTTTTGGGTTTTTTTTCTTCTAAACACAAATCGAGGTTCGGGTTGGAACAACTTGTCAAGCCTTATTTTAACCACGGTTGAACTATAATTTTAGCACAAAATACTCTAATGCTAACTTTTCTTGTACAAACTTAATTTATGATTTTTTCTGAACATAAATCAAGACTCGATTTGAAACAACGTGTAAAGTCTGATTTAACTGGGCTACCCAATATAAAAATGAGGTGCAAATAAGAGATAAAATGATAGCAACTCATTATATAAAACTCTAAAACATGGCCAAGCATTGATGAGGCCGCCTCTCATTATGGATTAGCCAAAACCTAGAAGAAGATTAATTAGCAACAGGCCAATAAAAAAATGGATGTGAGCAAAGCAAAACTAACCAACCTGTCACATTAGAATGACCCTTATGCAACAGTAGACACTTTCTAACTTTAATATTATTCATGGATTTGGTGAATGGTATATAGGAAAATACCATGAACATAGTCCCAGATAACTATGGAGCCCTTTTTGCCGAAGTCGCCTTCGTGGAGAGCACAGTTCTTGATCTTGGTGATGAGGGTATTTTTCGGTATTGGGCTTGTGGGGTATTTTTCGGTTGGGCTAGGGTGTTTTTCCTTTTGGGTCAAGTTTTTCTTTTGTGTTTGGGAAGGGGTAGCCGAATGGGAGTAGGATTAGGTTAAGTATTAGGCTTTTCTAAGCCTATAAATATGTACCTTTGGCATTAGTTCCATATCAATCAAATAAATCAAAGGTTTATAGACACCAACGTCTTTCTCTCGCTTGTGAGTTACAAGCAAAACCCTTGAATCTGTGGGTTACGGTTCATCACTTGGTCGGAGCCATGTTGCAGACGTGGTGAGGCCTGCCGCTGAAGATGTCGTGGTGCTGACTCGCCGGGAGGCAGATCCCAAAACATGCCTCCAGCTTCCCGCAGAGCAGATTACTCATCTTCTTTACTCGCTTGGTTTGTTTCTCGTTAGCTATTGCTGCGTTGGTGGTAGCGTGGGAGGAAGTGAAGCAATCAGCATTGAATTTATAGGACGCGAGGCTCACTACAAAAAAAAGGACCTATGGCAAGGGTTATTTTCATTTTTAGCAAGGGTTTTAACCCCTGTAGCAAGGGTTTAACCAACCCTTGAATGGACCCTTGGCAAAGCCGCCCCTGCTACATATAGCAAGGGTTATAGGCAACCCTTGGTGCATGTCCCCAGCAATGGTTATAGCAAGGATTTAACTCCTTGCTACACGTCAGTAAAATTGTAGCCATAGATTATAGTAGCAAGGGTTCAAACCCTTGGAAAATTCATTCCTACAACTAGCAAGGGTTCAAACCCTTGCTACTTGCCTATGTAAAATGATGTAAAGAGACGCTAGTAACAATGGGTTGTAACCCTTGAGAAATATGATACCACACACAAATTAAATTAGAAGAAATAGAGCCATGATATTTAAATCCCAAATCAGAAATAACATAACCGGAAAGTACAATTCCAAAGCCATTATGTTGCTCCACTCTTTCGAATGGTGTTCCCTGACCTTTCGGTAATCTTTGAATCACAGCAAATGGAGGCCCAAATGCAGCCTGCAAAAATTGGTGAACTTGAGATTCCATATATATACTCATCTGAAGAAGGTCAGAAGATGAGAAGATTTTGTTTATACATTAGCTTTGTGGTTTCCTTATGAGTCCCATGAATCTCCCTGGCCTTCTGCATAGTATAAATGGCAGCCAGCACAGTGGGGCAAGGTTAAGAACAACATGATGTAAGCTACATAATGTGGTGTACAGTCTGGAATAAGCTGCAAAAATATCAAGCAAGCACTAATTCATTCAAAGGAGGCATCATTCACATGAGATGAAGACTATAACTCGATGAATATTATAAATAATTTCTATCTAGTAATGTTCTTCTGCTCACCAACGAAATTAAGCATGTCGGGACAACTAAACTGGCGAAAACCATGAAAAGAAGAAGGCTTACTTTGATGTGAGTAGAATAAGAGCAAGATAAAAGAGTAAACAAGGATAACTCTTGATTGTAGTAGAACAAAAAAGGTCATATATGGTGATTAAATAGTTTACCTCTCCTATCCCAAAGATGAGCCCAGAAATCCACATTGTAGTGTCCACAGCTCTCCACCTATCATAGGTGAAAATCAAACTGTCTTGTCTCCACTCAGTACCTATCATAGGCGAAAATCAACTTAAGCAGATGCAGTAAATAAGTCAAACGATGTATCATAAAATAGGAATAGAGTAATCTCATAACAAAAGAAATTGTAATTGGATAAACTAATTTTCAAGTCATAAACAATAAGAAGGAACTTTTACTGAATTAGAAAGTTTTACAGAATATTTTCAAAAACATAGCCAAAAATTGATATATCATTCATAATATAAACCATCCATAAATGCTTGCAACACTAAGCTCCAAAAGTTGGTTGCATAGGATAAAGCAAATACAATCAAACTCGGGAGGAAGTTAAGATGGGAACCATTCATAAGAAGTCTAATCTAAGTGCAGATGGTTCTTCACAAATGAAAGAATTAACAGTTTGCATAAATCTACAAATTTGCTGCTGAATACCTTACATGCACAACATGGGCACTATCTAATACTTGAGGTAGTAATCATGTTGGATGTCCCAACCTCGCCAACTTTACTCTGCACAAGAGAAAAATCGAGAAAAGGCAAAATTCAGTACGTTCCATTTCACTTCAGTCTGCCCGTTCAGAATCAAGCTCGAAGTGAGCTTTTCTTCCCCTAATTTATCATATTTTGGTCCGACTAACACTCATAATGACCCATCCTAGCATGTCCTGCAACCCAAAATAACCCGAATGCTATGATCTGATCTAACTTGTTTGCCACTAAATGCATAAGATGATTTTTGGCTTCTATCCAGTTTCGACATTCGTTCTATCGAGCAATCAATATTCAATAGTATGCATCATCACCATCAAATATACATCTAGGCTTACATGGCATGGCTATAGCGAAACAAAAAACAATGCTGCTCATTTTATGGTTGGGCGGCCATATCAGTTCCTCTTCAATCAGAAGCTCCATTTCCAGCTCCCGTGGCTTTATCAACTTCTTCTGGAGAAATAGAGAAATTGGAGAAGAAATAGCGATCAATGGCATCCCAGCTGCAACTCCAGCTTTGATTCCCGATACAGAATCCTGTCAAAACAACATTCGTCGAGATTTTGTCAATGTTTTTGTCTAGGTTCAGGGTGTGGCTTAGCATTCTCCCCTGTCCTCAAACCCTGAAATCTTATCACGACCAATGCTAGAGCTAGAAGCAAACATACATCCAAATTCACGATGGACATAAGCATAAAGTCGGGAAACTCCCCAATTTTAACTCAACCTACAGACAAGAACAACGGCTTGGCTAAAAATCGATACGGGAGAAAAGAAAGGGAAGATAAACAATCCAATTCTTGTTACCTCAATGAAGCAATAGTGGAACACAAGCCTGAGGAAAGCTAGAGTGGCACCGAGATTGACTCTCTGAAGCTTTCTGTCAACGTCCTGCAGGATCGGACTCTCGAGAAGCTGAATAACTCTTCTTCGCGCTTGACCAAGTGAGGAAGATGAAACTCGAGCCGAGGTTTCCCGAATTCGCAACTCCGAAGTAGAATTTAAGAAAATATAGAACACGAAGGGAGAAGGGGAATCAAACAGAGCATTCTAGTCTAATCTATAATATGCATGGCGTCAAAACCTAAAATCAATCTACAGTCATGAATGGTGCACATGCCTAGAGAAATATAGGAATCGGAGAAGCACACTGAAGTGAGGGAGAGGACGAACAATCGAATCGCTCGGAGCGAGGGAGACATCGGAGAAGCGCATCGCTGGGAGAAAGGAAGAAATCGGAGAACCGCGTCGCTTTAAGCTAGAGTTCAGAGGATCGCGTGGCTTCGAGCCAGACGGAGGTCAAAGAAGAAGAGAATCGAAATTGCGTTGCTTTGATTTTGTAACTATCAATTCCGGGTTCGTTTGGAAAAGAAGCAAAATAGATAAGGAAAGGGAATTCGAATTTTCTTTTGACAGAGGGAATAGGAATCTTCAAGAGCAATGTTCGGGAAAGAAGATTCAAGAGCAATGTTCGGGAAAGAAGATTCAAGAGCAATGTTCGGGAAAGAAGATTCAAGAGCAATGTTCGGGAAAGAAGATTGGAAAAGGGAAGAGGATTTCTCACCGAGTTTATTAAAGTTTGTAGCAAGGGTTACCAAACCCCTAGAACAAACTGATGGTACAATGAATTCCTAGAAAATTAGCAAGGGTTTACGAACCTCTGTTACGTAACCCTTGGCATAAGGCCTTTTTCTTGTAGTGGCTGGTGGACTAATATAATGGGATGCAGATACTATAGAAATTTTACAATGCTATTGGTGCTATAGGTTTTTGTTTTTATAGTACAACTTAAAATTGTACATTTACGTTATTGTACAACTTTAGATTGTACCTATAATTTTTGTACAAATTCTTTTATGGTAACTTGTACTTTTATATGATGGTACAACTTCAATTTGTAAAGTTGTACCATAACATAATGGTACAAATTGCTTTATGGTACAACCTAAACTTATACATTTAATGTTATGGTACAACTTTAAATTGTACATTAAAACACCAATGCTATATAGTATAGTAGAATTGCTGTAGGTACTATATGGACATAGGGCTATAAAGTTTTATAAACACGTTTTATGGCTTTCCATATACACAGCTGTGCGATGTGGGTCGGCCCATGCATGCAATTATGGACAATGAAAGAAGAGTTCGTTCGGTGGGGAACAAATTATTCAGTATTGGCAACTCAGAGACCTGAGCCGTGCCCTTTAATAATACCAACCACATTTGATACATTAAACACGTTGGTTTCTACCCAGTGCAAAATAGACTCTGGTAATTCTGGAACCACCTTAACACTCCATGCACTATATTCACTGCCTCATTTGGCTCTACGATTGAAACCTTATTAGTAACCTCTTTTGGACTTTACCGTAGCTCCGCCCTGTCCTATTAACGAGGAATTTGGACAATCTTATATCCACACTTTCAACCACAAGCACTCAACTAAATAAGAGAAAGAGACGCTAGCTGTAGGCTAAAATCTCTTGATTCAACTCACGAATACTAATTGTACAACCCTCTCAAAATTGTCTTGTTATTTTCACGTTCAAAAACCTTTTAGTTCATCTCATTAAATTCCAATCGACTACTATTTCATTAGTCGTTGCTTCTATTAGCTGATTATGTAAATTGGGTTATGTAATTAGCTGTATAATTATGAGGCCCAGTAGTTAATTAGCCCAATACGTAAGTCCATGAAATCCATGCATGGGCGGTCGTGTGTTAGTAAACGATATATGTGTTGGATTACTTGCTCTTGTGTACTTGTTAGTTTGTTTGTTGGGTTCTCTTTATTAATAAATTATCACCACCGTTATAAAAAAAATGATTCACGATTGAACCTCTTTCAACTACTCTAATTATTGGGACTAACTGGTTATTGCTATGGTATCAGAGCCTTCTGTGACCAAGAGTTCTTCTGTTGGAATCCCGATGGCCCCTATATGTTTTTGGTAAGCACATGGTGTCCGGACCTGTGCAAACATCAAGTCCATATGTGGTGGCTTTCGTTTGATGGGGTATGTTAGTAAACGATATATGTAGGGATGGCTATACGGTCCGGTCTGGTTAAATTAGCACGAATTGATCCGGTCCCAATCCGGTATTTTTTGAAATATAGGGACAAAAACTTGGGTTGGGTACGGTCCGGTCCCAATCCTATTTTGATCTGTTTTGACCCGTTTTCAGCAGCATATACATTTTCCTGAAATGTAGACAATCTATTTGTAGCAAAAATCAACTCAAACATGGTCCAATACAAAATCACACACATCATTGATGTCTATTACAAACTCAAAG